TCCTGGTGGCGCCCTTGAATGCAGTCACCACCATGCTTCATTTTAGGGACGGTGTGCTCAGGATGATGTGTCGCGCTATGCCTTACATTGCATTTTGAGTGTGGGCCTTCAGTGGATTTATTTATCAGAGTAGACGTCGGTTAAACACTTGAACTTTCAAGTCAAAGTTTGCAGATGTTAATTTGTCAAAAAAATAAATAAATTGGTTGGTAAGAAGAAAAATAAAATGCATTTTAATTTGTATTTGTAATATCAAAAACTCTAACCAAGTTCATGAAGACTTTTAGCAGGGCACAGTAGACACAGAGCTCACTTCAGCACATTTCAACAGTTTCTGTTAAATAAATAATACCAGAGAAGACTGTGTCGCCAAGTACTGATCCTGAGTTTAATAAGTTCTTTTCTTCTTTTTTTTTCTTTTTTTTTTTTACATGAGACAGGCACAGGGAAGTAAGAGGTGAGAGGCGTGATATAAAGGTCTTTGAGAGTTATTATAAGACTGTTGCCTTGGAAACAGCACGCCAACAAAAGTTAATTTTCAGTGTTGTTGACTAACTTTCATCTGTGACATTTCTTTCTTAATTGACACACAAAGTGTTATTTTCTTACATGTAATGACATACAGAGGTTGAAAATAACATGCTTCTACTGAAAAGAAAGCAAGTTTATAAAGTTTAAGAAAATCTTATTTGTGGTGTTCAGTTAAGCACTGGAGGAGAAAAACAAACTGAGTTAGAAAAATGCCACAAAAAATAATAGAAAAACAGTTTCCATAAAAATTGTTTTTAGTTTATTCCAACATGCTGCTTCATGTCCATCTGAAAAAGTTTGTTTCCAAAAGTTCACAGTGAGAAGCTCTGCAAATCTACTCTCTCTCAATGTATTACTTTCAAGATAATATACTTTGTTCTCAATATTTGAAAATATAGGCAGGTTTGCTGTTGAGTACTTTTCTCTGTGCTGTAGATGGATTTTCTATGTAATATTGTTCTTTGTTCTCATATTGTCTGTCTTCTGCCTAGAACCGTCAGACAAGGCTTCTGCATGTTGGTGTTCCCGCTAAATCCTTAATATACCCAATTTGGGTTGTCTTG